TTTATAAATTTCTTTTTAATCTTTTTTTTTAATTTTTTTTGCGTGTGTTCCTTTTTCGCTCGCTTATAACTAGATATGGCTTTTAATATACCAAAAGCAAATTATACACAAGTGTTCTGTTGCTAGGTGATAAACTGCGTTCTCTTTTCCTCTCCAATCAGTTCTTAAGACTATGTACACCGCAACCCTTTCGTTGTCTTTTGTCGCTTTAAAGCACTAAAATTGCAATTAATCGCATTGCGAAATGTCTGTCCGCATGCAAATTACCGTAAAAGTATATGTAAATGGTAATCCAACACCAATCAATGAGGAAGGTCATGTCTCGCAGCGTTTAAGGAGCGCTACAGTAGGAACTGAGAGCGCCCGCGCAAATGCTTTGCTCACAAATGGCGCGCTAACGTTGTTGTTGTAATATATCTATACTATAAAATTCTATATAAATAGCAGAGTTGTCTGCGCCATCCACGCGACCACAGCGTCTGGTTTAGAACACCGCTAGCGCAGAGTACAGCGCGCGTCGCGCTTGTATTAGCCTTAACGGTTGCCAGTTACTGTGACGTCAATGTGCACCCTACCCACCTTTTAAGTAAGTAAATAAAAACAACTACACAACCGGAGACGACGACGAGGACGGCGATCGAGCAACCGCTGAACGCCGTCACCAGCCGCTCGCGTTCGTGCGAACCACTAATTTAGATGCCACTTTCGATTTCATTTTCATTTGCGAGCCGATGCGGTGCGGCGTTGTGTATGCATGTATGTGTGTGTGGTTGACGTTGGTAACAAGCCGCACTAAGCGCATTGTCAATCGCCAATTGCAGCGTCTCAATTAATTAGCCATTCCATTAGAATAATTTGTTTGGTATAAATTATTTATATACATATATATTTATATTTATTTATACGGCGCCTGCCGCCAGCCAGCCACCTGCCGCCCTCGAAGCGCACCGCTGTGGCATGACTTGCTTAGATGTTTGTATGAGTGTAAGTGTTTTTCCAGCTTAGTGCGCGCTATGTAGTTGTTGCTATT